AAAACAAACTATCAAACTTGTAAAAAAAAAAAAATCACATAAAAAGTCCTACTCAAATAACTTGAGTTAAAATAATATAATGATAGATCCTTGCTACCAGTTTAATATTAAATGATAGTCAACCATGTTCCAGACTGATTCCTATTAGCCTGTTACTCAGGCTAGTAAATAGTGGTTTCGGCTACTTGTTCTTTTCTAAAAATGCCAGTAGAAACGCAGTAGCTGTTCCAGCATATAATTAGAATGGCTGCAGAAAACACATTAAAAATATGATAACTATAATATGGCTGAAATTTATTGACTCCAATATGCTCAATAAGTACTCAAATAACAATCTTTCATATATATCTCCAAATTTGTAGACTTTCTATAATACTTAAACATCCTACAGCATTTATATTTTATTCTATTTAGTCATAACTATTCTTTGAGTAACATAACAAAACAAAAATAACATGTTTCAGGCAACCTTATTAGTTATAAGAGTCTCTGTACTAAAGGGGTAATACACACTTTTCCCAGTTATATAGTATTCAAAGCACAAAGTTAATAAGTTGTACTTCTAACAGATGGATTTACTATTCTGACATGTATATATCAGGAGAAAGTTATTTATCAAATTGATATGAAGTTTAATATTCATTTTTAACTTTTTTTCTGAAAACACATTAAGCACAGTCTTATCTCTAAACTAAACAGAATAAACCTAAGCTACCTAACTTTTGTATTTTCTAGTTACCTACATATGTACTAATTAAAAATATGATATTTTCAAACACTTAAAATCTTGCAAGGGTTTCAAAGTTATAATTTACCTCATTAATTTTAATCTGTCGTAATTCTTCCTCAGCTGCAGTTAGTGGGGCAGGGGAAGACTGTGACAGCAAATATTTTTTATATCCATGTAGTGATACATCCTCCTGTAAGTACAGAAATGGACTATCATCAGTTATTCTCTAGAAATAAAACCAGAGTAAAGTTACTTTAGGAAAAACAAAATCATTAATTTAACAAAAAAGATTTTAAATGAAAATAAATAGCATAAAGAATTTTACTGTCTCTTTTCACTTTTCTTTTACTCCTTTATTTTAAAAGTTTCAAAACTTTTTAACTTCATTTCTTGAAGTTTTATAATTACTAGATCTTCAGTCTGAGTTTGGTGGTGTTGATGCCACCAAAATAATGAAGCTGGTCAACCCTCAAGTCTACAGGATAATTACAACAAACCTGTGGAAAACTACCTTATAATTATTCAGTAATCAGCCTATTCAGATTCTGATTCTATTTTATAATGATTTATATAATTAAATTATGATAGTTTTTACATTAAAAGAAAAAATACTCCACAGAGGTCTACTTATCCAAATTTTGTGGTTTGGAAGACTGCAACTCACACAATTGAAACAAGCCCTTCTCACAATTAATGGTGAACAAGCAACATATTCTCATCTAGTCTTGTGTTCTATCCACTAGATTATATTACTTTCTGAGTCAGAAAAGCTCTAAACAAATAAAAAAGTTGAAATATATTGAAAAATACATTTAAATGTTCTTATGTTGTGTGTATATGTATAAATACATGTATTTACCATTTAAATTTTTAAAGAATATGTATATTTTAATACCATTTATTCTCAATGTCCAATAGACACAACTGAATGAATTCAAAGTTACAGATCCACTAGAGTTAACTTGTATATCATATGAAATATAACAATATTTTCTCTCTTATTATGTTTACAGATTCATCCATCTGAATTCATATCAGTTACCTACTACCTAGAAGTTCTTTAATCATTTTAATTAGAACATATAGAATCCACATAAAAATATAAGTTTTATACCTTTACTGTTCCAAATACTTCATCTTTAATGTGCCCACCTCCAAACTCCTTTTTCAGAGTTGCTCTTGTTGCTGCATACAACATTTTTTGACGAACCTATTCAGTTGTGAAAGTTTACTTAGAAGTTTACAGATGAAAACATATTATTACAAAACAAAGCACATTCTAATGTATTAAAATCTTTAAGCACATTAAAAATGAAATAAACTGTGATAAAGCAGAAGCCCACTGACTATAATATCTTAAAGTATGTGTGTACAAATAACCATCCTAACATGAACATCTAAAGTAGTAATAGCTATTAAGGTAAATTTCAATTTACAATGTAAGTCACATTTTTTTTTTAAAGTTGAGAATATATAAATTTTTTAAAATTCTTCAAAGTATAAAATGAGTCCAATGATTAATAACTACTTTAAAATAGGAGGAAAAAATTGAAGTGAAGTAACCTTGATAACATTTTACTCAAAGCTAGATCAGATATTACTAATTAAGTAGTTGAGAATCAAATACTCATGGCTTGCCTATGTAATATACCATTCTGTGAGGGACACAGGATTATAAGAAACATACTATTATTAATATTCTACTAGTATCCATGGAATGCAACTAAAGATAACTACCAACAGAAATAACTTCATAATCTTGCACAGTCAAGTCCAGTATTCAGACAGGATGTATGGAGTCAAAGAAGATGGGATAATCTTTTCAGAATGATTATCTAAATAACTTTAAAAATTATTACTTTTTTTTTTGCAAGAAATTATGAGAATCTTTAACAAATTTGGCATATTCATGTATCAGTTTTGTCTTTTGCTCTATTTAGTCTGTCCACTACTAACTTTGCTAAGAGAAATACATATTTGCATGCCTACCACCTGAATGGTAGTGATTAATATATGGTGAAGATTAACATAATTTAATATAATGTTCAATTAGTTCTCAGAATTATTAAAATTATTACTCTTAAAGCCAGTTAGCTTCACTCTTCAGAGGTCCATGGAATCATTTATAATTGCCACAGATTTAAAATTTTTAAATTGATAATAATTTTGATTTCAAGGACAAAGCTTCTGAATATAAGTGCTTGTTTGATTTCACATTATTAATCCAAAGATTTTTTTTCCCTATGATCATTCCCTTCTATGGGAAATGACTGCTGCCTTTTAAACTTTAATCAGCCTAGAACTATTTTTTAAAAAAGTATTTCTAGCATTCAATGTTAAACTACTAAAAAATTACTTACATGAGAATGATCTGGAGACCATGCAATGAATATCCATTCATAACCCTGGGCATTCTGAGAATCTAACCTGAATAATATATAGCAAGGCTGTTTGTCCTCCAACAGAGGTAAAACAAAGGAATCATAATCCTTATCCCAGGAATCTGAAGGCTGACTACATGATCCAATCACAAGTTGCTCTATAAAAAATAATTTTTAAAAAGATAGGTAAATGATTTGAAAGACCAAGTGGTAGTTCCATGAAGACTAGAAAAATAAATTGACCTAAAGTCATTTCCCAATTACGATAATATTATGCACATCAAAAACATAAAAGGAAAAAAGTGGCACAGAAAATAATTATGATATAAAGTATTACTAAAAACAGGAAGATTTTATGGATAGCATGATTAAAATTTTTTATAGATACACAGCACAAAAATATATAAAATGATCATAATAGTTGAGCTGAATAGTCAAATAATGGGTGATTATATTTCTATTTTCCAAAATGCCTATGTTGTAAATTATCAATAAAATACATTTAAATAACTGTGTTACCACTCAGAATAATTTCTGAAATTAACATTGAATTGTAGAGTAAGAAATATTAAATAAGGTTTAACTCCTGTTTGGCTGATGCTACAGATTAAAAATCTGCCTAGAAGCATAAATTGGTTCAGCCACTTTGAAGCACTATTTGGCAGAATACAGTAAAATTTTGAATGTTCTCTGCATAGAGAATCTCTTGCACATATGTACAAAGGTGTTCACTTCAGCACTATACAGCAACAGAGAAAACTGGAAATAACCCCAATGTTCATCAGTAAGAGAATGGACAAAAAATATGTGGCATAGTCATTTGATAACATTCTGTTCGTATTTTAAAAGCATTAATGACCTCTCTACCAAAACTCATTACAAAAATAACATTTACAAGAAAAGGAAAGATACAGAATAAGATAGCATCATGCAGTTTATGTGAACTTAAAAACCCAGACAGCATTATCTGCTCTTTAGGGATACACGTAAAAAAGAGATTGCACAAATATAAAAACTCCTAATTGTAGATGCTTCAGGGGAAAGGTCAGAAAGTAAAATTGTTTAAAGGGGATACTCTTATATCAGAACAATATCACATTTTCAAAAATGCTTGAAGAAAATATGATAAAATGCTAGCAGTTACTAATGTAAGGGGAAACATAGGTATTTATGACACTATTTTATTCGTTGGGATTTCCTTTGTTAAAAAATTTTCTCAAAACAAAAAATAAAACCAGAAAATAATGACTTAGGAAATAATACCATTTTATTTCTGTAAAGATGCTAGTTAGATTAACTTTTCCATTTTAGTTACTTAAGTAGTCACTCAGTAAGTGATGGCATTTAAAATTTTAACTCATTATTTCTAAAACATGCTGGTTTACAGTATACATTTATTCTTGTTGAATTTATAATATATATAGAACAAAAGCATATTTTATAAACTATTCTGGTATTTTTAATATATAAGCAGAAAATGGAAAACAAATTAGATTTACTTCCAGTTTATGAAAGAACAAGTTATTTTTCCAAAGCAAAATATTTCAAGGTAAAAGAATTAAGCCAATTGAATATGTTAACACATTCATTTGTGATCAGGTAGTTTTAACAGTAATTACTCAAATGTAAATCTGCCTTGTTTAAAAGATTCTCCCATCCAACCAGTTTCCCTGCTTATTTTTAAAGAATCAATTGATAATTTGTTACATTCTCAGAATTTCCCCAAAACAAGAAAGGGTAATAATCATTCCTGTGGTATAAGCTGCAATCAGGTGAAGAAAATGAGAGAGTTTGAAATCTTTTGTTTCTACTTTAAAACAAACTTTACTGAATAATTCACAAGTAACTATTTTTTTGGATAATCACCTGTTAACTTATTTCCATTCCAGAAATGGAAGCACTGACATTAGAAACAGACTGTGGTGCAGAAACTGAGACAGAAGAAGTAAAAGAGGAAGACGTCACGTTAAAAAACATCTTTCTGTTTCCCTGATAGCTAGTTCAGAAGGAAAACAGGGACCATAAGGCCCTGCACAAAATGTGAGGAATCCAAGTTACCTTACTTAAGGTAAGCTGCATACTGCACATTAACAAAAAGTTCAAAACACTAACATTACTTAGTTTAAAAATATAATACCCAATAATCCAGGGACAAACAATATTTTAAAATGTTTAACTAACCATTTTCAATAGATATTTTCAGAAGTCTGTACTTTCCATTTCTGGCTCTGGCAAAGATATCTTTAACATCTTCACTTGCTGTGGAAAAAGATAAAGAAAAGCAAACCTATTTTTTTATACTTATGTATGAATACTTTCTTTTGCTACCTATATGGGAAAAAATGAATTACAATACAAACAAAAAATCTGAAGTATTTATCATCCTCTTATTATCAGTATTATAAAACTTTTAAAGGCCTAAGATAGCAGACATTGTATACAGTTAAGAAATATTAATATATTTGAAAAGTATGTTAACATTCATTCTAATCTGTTTTAGCTAGATAATTCTGTAGCAAAAACAACACTGGAGTGAATACCCTGAAGTTACTCAAACCCAATGATGGGCAAATACAATTCTGAAAAACACCTTTATTGCTTGTTTGAAAAGTGTTGAAAACTTGCTTTCATTCTCTTCTAGTTTAGTTTCAAGATTATGAAAAAGACACCTCCTTCATCAATTCATTTTCTGTATTTTCCCACTAAAAACAACAGTAACTATCAGTTATCCCAAACTGATTAAAAAAAAAAAGCCAATAAAATGTATTCAATCTTATACTTCTGGTTATCTTTTTCTAAGCTGCATTTCTCAAAAAGCTAAAGTAAACTCATTGAGCAAATATAAATTTAATAACCTGACCCTTGTCTTCTTATTAAAGCTTCCATTTCGTTCTTGTGTTGTCTACTAACAGCAAGAAACACTAATAAGTAGTGCTTGCTCTAAGGCTCAAGCATGAAAGTCAATAATTACATACTTATATGTCAAAATTAATGCGGGCAAATAAAACAATGCTTTAGATTTGAGAATATTTTGCTTGTGTGCCTGTGCAGGAGTGGGGCGGGGTGCTGTAAAAGACCCTTAAGAACAGAACACACAATTAAGTGTTCATTTGGGGAAAAGATTCGTTGTCTATTCACAGGAGGAGCTTGGGTTTATATTGGAATTCATGAAGTGATCACAAGTAACCCCGGGATATATTATTTGACTCTGATGAGGTGAGCGCTTCCAGGCTGTCCATTTTTAAGCCAGGAAATAATGGAGGTCGGATAAAATTGCCCTTTCAACTGTCTGCACAGGATGACTACATTTAACCACACAGATCAGACTTTTCAGTTCTCCTGGAGAGTACCTAGAAACAAGACCAAAACACACCCCACATTAAGGATTTCTCAGAACATTAATTCCCATTCCCATTTGGGGAGAAAATGTGTAAGAGTTTGGGAAGCACCCCTACTGATGTGAATAAGATTCTGGCATGTTCGTTTTATAATCAGAGTCCTGTAATACTTCCTTGAACGGTGAAAAGGAAAACTCGCCCGGCTCTCTACAGCGCCGGGAGCCCCAGTGGCCTCCACTGTTAGAGCTCTTCCCCACCCGATAAAAAAGGGGAAAGTTGGCCTAACGTCGGGGGCCCTGGAGGGCACGCCCCCTTCACCCAGGCCGCCTCGGAAACCAATTTCCTTCGCTCCTCCGAACTTCGGGTCCGTCTGCAACGTGGCGGCGGCCAGGCCCAGCTCGGGAGCTCCCGGCAAACCGGAGCCCGGAGAGACGCCGAGGCCCTCAAGCCCCGCGGGAGCGACTCCCTGCACTCCCGGCCCGACTCTGGCCCTGCCCGCCCCGCAGCCCGCCCGGCTCGCCTGGGGCCTCCCGGGAGCCCCTTCCCCGCGGGCCGCGCCGGGCGCCGTTACCTTGGATGCCGGTCTGGTGGGACATGGCGGCGGCCGCGGGCTCCCGGCTCCAGCGCTGAGTGCAGCGAGCGGCCCCGGCCGGCGGCTCCAGGAAGTGGCGGCTCCTCAGCCGGCCCCGCGCGTCATCCGCCCGCGACCCGCCGCCGCCGCCCCGCCCCGCCCCGCGAGGCCCGCGGCGTCCCCGGGCGCCCTTGTGGCCCCACCGCCCCTCCCGGCCGCCCGCTGTAGGTCTGGCCCCCGGCCCGCGCCCAGCTCCGCCGGGGGTCACGGGCTCTGCATTCGCCGCCGCCTCTCCCGCTCCACCCGGGGGAAAGTGCCACCGAGCCGGCGGGAAAGCTTTGCGCTCCGAAGTCTGCCCTCCAGTGACCCCGCCGACTCCGCCATTCCCTGGCAAAGGGATGCTCAAAAACGGAAATGACCATTTTACTGACTATGTATTTTTCAGCTTTAAGAAAGCTACGCACAACACCCTTCCTTGTTTACTCTTCCTGGAATCCACACAATTTGTTTTAAAGAAAGGCCTAACGCCCATTTTAAAAATGAGAATATACTATAGACGGTCTCCGTCAGTTTTTCCCACAATTTTAAATTGAGTTAATCTCCGACGTTAGCTTTTTTCTTCCCAGTTGGGCACATTTAGAGACCAAGTGTCCCTTTCTCTTCATTCCAAAAAGAGACAGCCACTGAGAGTGATAAGATTAGCTGACTTGAGTATTCCTCTGTGGTCAATTGTACCATTGCAAACTAATACTGCTCTGCCTTTAGGTTGGCCGTTTATTTTTTTAATCCAGTAACTGTTCAAAATTCTCTCAGATAAATTTATCAGATAACAGCAGGTATTATTAAACTTTATTCCCTATTTCTGCTTTTGTGAACAAATTTCACTTCTGAAAGGTAACGTTAGAAGTTGTTTTTGTACTGCTTTTCTACCACTTCCAGGTACAAAGCTGGGTCTTGTTTATAGGGCCTTGAACTGACAATTATATAAAATTACCATCTGCTAATGAACAAATACTTTGTTCATGCCAATAATACAAGTGCATGTTAACAAAATTACTCTTAAAATACTGTACAATGTATTTTTAATTAGTTATTAACTAGAAGGCCTACAGTTGTTTTTATTACAGAGACCACAGTAAACAAGGTTGCTGTGCTCTGTTCCCTGTTCTCTAAGCTGTTTTTCAAACAGATCCTCAGATTCAGGAATAAGTGAAATTTAGCCTGAGTTTTATTATGACATGTTTGAATTTAAGAAACGTAGGGAGGAGTTCCATTTTAACCAAATTCTTCCTGACACAGTGGTTCACCCTGATTTACCAGTTTTTGACTGCAGCATCATTGAGCAGTGAGAAAATTGCCCAGTTCACCTGCAATTTTTTGAGTGATTCATGTCCTGGTGACTTGGGGAAATTCTGAAGGAAGTCAGCATTGCTCAAAAATACAAATAAAAAAAATTAACTCTCCCATATTCATGCTTAGTATGGACCACTGCGTGCTCAGTCCTGAAAAGAAAAATTCATTTAGGTTGGGACTGCCATGGCATCCACCTGAAAGAGCTTGTTTTTTGTTAGTACAGTAGTTTGACTTAAGAATTTCAAGGATCTTGGGTACATTGCTCTGTTCTAGCCACAAATGTTTTACCACTTTTCTTCATCTATTGTGTCTCCAGTTATTGAACATTTGCCAGAACTGTCATAATAATAAAACCTTAGATTTGTATAGTGGTTTACAGTTTTCAAAGAATATATAGAGACTTATTTGAGTGCCAACATAATCCTGACAGGCTAAATGAAACATTATCAGATTTTATTTTTTAACTTTAAAAGATTTGGAATTGAGACATAGGAGAAGTCAGCAAGTGTCATGGCTAAGACAAGTGTTTGTAAGAGACAGAAACTATTTTAAGACAATATATGTAAATAAGGAAGTTTATTATAAGGATACACGAGAATCTCATAAGTCCTGATGGCCTGGCTTCTTCTCTTCTCTGCTCTTCTTTTCTCTTCTCTTCTCTTCTTCTTCTCTTCTCTTTTCTTTTCCTTTCTCTCTTCCCCAAATGGGATCTTTCTGCTTATGCAGTCAAAATGGCAGAATATGACTATTCTCCATTTCCCAAATTGACAGTCACAGTTCTAGCTTTATGCAGGGATTACAATAGCTTTTCTAAGTCCAAGTTCAAAATTCCTAGGAGAAGACATGTGAATAACCCTTCTTGGCTCATGTATCAAATGGTCCTTGGCCAACCTGCCTGGTTTACCCAGTATATACTGACCAATGAATGAAGGGCAATTACCACAGGAGGGGAGATGGATCTTGGGCTTGGAAAACAGGCTTATAATTCCTACTTTTTGCAATTTAGTAGAGCTGTTGTTTAGAACCCAAGTTAGCCAAAACAAACACAAATGCATGAAGGGAGCAATTAAATAACATAAATGAATGAAGCTAACAAAGGCAGATTGTGGTACCCATATGAAGCACAAACTCCACCTAAAAGGAGTTACAATTACTCAACTCCAGTTGACTAATGCTTTTGTGGAAATTCAAGCCCAGGGTAACTGATCTTCTGATTTTCAAGTGATGTCAGAAATTGGGGTTTTATGGGAAATATCTATTTCAATTGCTTGGGAAAACAAACAAAAAAACAACAACAATAACAAAAGATCATATCTATAGGTCAGATTTGATGTATGGACTGGTAGTTTAGGACTTTAGACCTGGTTCTTCCGTCTGGTCAATTGTCAAATAATGATATGTAAAAATCACATCCTCCATGAATATTTTATACAATAGAAAAGAATATGATGTGCACAGCCTTAATGTGAGCAGCATATATATTTGCGTATAGTGCATGTGCACATAAAACTATAAGGTATCATGCATTCATCTTGTCTCTCCACTGAATTGGAACCTTTTGACAGAAGAGAATCACTTCTTCTGTACTTTGTGAGATAACATTAAAGAGCTACATTTGCTTTAGGTTTTAGATTTGTAAGGCATCAAATAAGAAAAATAATTCTTTGGGTTATAAAAATGAGAATCAAGTATTAAGCAACATACTTTGACTGAAACTAACTTTTATTGTATGCATGTAATTATAACCCCTAACAGCCTACAATAAACACCTGGCAAGATTGCTAAAACTTTCAATAAAATGGAATATATAACAGAAGATTCTTTTATTCGAGTCAGGCTCTATGGTGCTGGAATGAGTCACTGAGAAAACAGAACAAAGAGTCTGGGTTAAAGATTAGTTCAAGCAAATGATA